GAAGAAGAAGAAGAAGAAGAAGAAGAAGAAGAAGAAGAAGAAGAAGAAGAAGAAGAAGAAGAAGAAGAAGAAGAAGAAGAAGAAAATATTGCATTTATCTGAAAGCTTTACATCGATGACTTGATCACTGAGCGTAATATTTCATTCACACAAGATAAAAACTCCCAAAGGGGGGATATTAACATGTTGCAATAAACAGTAGAATTGTAAATGGGCTGGTTTATCAAAGCCATGCTGGCACTTTGCCGAAACATCAGAGGGGGAACTATTGTTTTTGTTTCCTCGTCCTTGCTATAGTCATTTGTCCTGTACTTCGTTTGTATGTTTGTCACTCTCCTGTGAACTGCTATTTCTGGGATACCTTGATAGTCGAAGCAGACTTTGTGCTGATGAGGCTAGAGGGGTGAGCAGAGTAAGCCTGATTCCCCGTTTGGACTTCTCTGTTGACATCCACCCCTTTGCACTCATATGACCTTATGCAGTTGCGAGCGAAGTAAAACTTTACTAAAACTAAACAAAATAAATTAATTAATTAGCATTAACAAGAAAACCAGTTCAACCACATGAGGATGAACACATTCAAATATAGTATATTAATCATAAACACGTAAAGGCAGCAATGAAAACAAGGCTTATCGGCAACTACTGACACACTACATCCAAGACTTAAGTAAACAGAGAATCAATTATAATAATAATAATAATATATACCTTTCTAATAACTTTCTGAATAGAGCCATCCTATTGTGATTTTCCTTATTTGTCTTTCCCTTCTTCCGACACATTCTTACAATCGCTCGCCGCTCGTATGACCTTACGCAGTTGCGAGCGCCGTAAAACCCTATACATGTACTACTAACATTCTTATAATCCCGAATCTGGAGCCTAGCTATTTCGACCTACATTTCTCATTATTTGTCTTTCAGATAAACAAAGCCGGTTCCTTTTGTCACTCCATTAGAAATACAGAAAAATTCTGAAAAAAATAAAGATATCATTATTTTGGAAACTTCTCACGTGAAATGTGTTTCTTTACCAAAACACGTGAAATGTGTTTCTTTACAAAAAATGTATGAAAAACCATTTTCTTTTTGTTTCATTGTTAACAAAAAAAGTTTGTCACGACTTAGCGATATCTGAGGCTTGGTCTTGATATCAAAAACGTGTATGGAATCATGAGGTAGTGAACAGAAAATTACTGTACACCGGGTCTTTTATTTGTCTCCCTTTTTTTCCACTCCCTCTTTCCCTCTGTTTTGACCTTCTCATCTCCTGCGGACGTTCTCAATTCGCGATACAAGTCACTCAGCCTTGCATGTTGTCTGATATCCTCCTAGACGTAGATCTAGGCCTA